GCCCTTACCTATAAAAACATGTGTTGGGAAAATCAGTCAAGTCAATACCGGGCATTGCGCAGTTTTGTCATTTATTGTAAAAAAAAAGTCTTTATTAGCATAAATAACAACCTTATTAACCGAACTCTTAACCCAGCAGGAGACGAGTGGATCGTTAACCGGTATTCACACCAAATTTTTTTATGTTAAATATCATTGCCCGGTATTCCATACTCTTTCATTTTTTCCCAATCCATCCCAATTAAACATTATTAATATCAAATAAATCAATATCAATTTGAGTAAAACAAATACATCGAACATTCACCAAAGTTATTATGTGAATGTTGACAGTAACCGGAGACTGATGACATTCACCACATTTTGCATAGCGCCGTAACATATGCATCACTATGAAGTGTAAAATTAAAGAGCATTCATATTTATTTTACTTGTGTCATCATCAATTATTTAATTGCATTCATTACTCAGCGAAATTATTACCTCTCGACATTCATTACCACGGAAAATAACCCTTATAATTCAACACGAGCTCTTTAAATCAGAAAGCATCCAATATGAAGAATAGCCAAGAGAGATTCATACGGCTATTTACAGGAATTATAACTAAGCCCTTCTGTTAAAAATCATTTATAACGAATTATCCATTGCTCTAGTCGCAGAGAAAGAGCTTAATTTAATTCCTCGTTTAATTAAATCTTGCTTAGCATAGCGTGAATGTCATTTAAATTTAAACGTCAGTGCCATACGGGTCAAACAAACGAAAATTCACCCTTCTGTTTCAGTGAGAATTAAATCTCAGAATGTAATTCATAATTGTGAAGCTTATTTAAAACAAATACGTCAAGTTCACTGAAATATTTTGGCGAAGATGGAGCTGCAGGAAGCCAAATAGAATTTCGCTGCAATTAACGTTTAGCATTTAATACATCCAATTAGATTTATTGTTGTAGGTAATTTGATCCTTAGATTACTTTGTATAAATATAAAATCATTGAATATTTAAATAAAGTAAATGAGTTTTTGTTCATTTAAGACACAACAAAAACATAACAAACGTAACATAAAAAAGACATCATAAAAACAAATTTAAATCAAAATGGTTAAAAAAATAGTTTTGATCAGGGGTCCTCAAACTTTTTAGCCTAAATGCCAAACTGACTGTACAGTAAAGTTCCAAGGGCTGAACCTTACAAAAAATAAGGTGTTTTTGAAGTTGACATATGTAAAAAATACCTGAGGTACGAAATGAGGTTATGTTTTTTCACCAAAAAAACCTCATTAATAAACCTCAATTTCAACCTTATTTTCACCTCCCAAAACCAACGTCATATATAACTCAGAAATAATTTATATTAGATCGGGTGAAATTATCCATACCTTAAATACACATATTTGCTTGAAACGTAGAAGAAATAATCCGTTCACCTCTAAAATAACCTTCCTTAGTAGGGTTGCTCTAAAGTAGATTTCCATCAAAACAACCTCAAGTGTGAATAAAACAACTTTATACACCTTACTTTTACACCTTGGGAGGTTTATCTAAGGTTGCTTTTGAAATGAACTTCGAATAAACCTAATATCATACTTAACACCTCAAAAATACCCTAAATTTCTGTAAGAGGTAACCTAGCCAGTTTAGACATCATTTAGAAGAAATGGATCAATGTAAGAAAATAATTTATCCGAGCAGTTTCGTTTTGTAACTATTTAATTTCATACCCTTTCAGTGGACAAAATAGTCCAAATTAAGTAGAATAGTTTCGATCCCATCTTTAACACCTTAGGGACGGGTGATTCATAAAAGCATTCGTACAAAATCAGAATCAGAATGTAAATAAATAAAAAACGGTAACTTAAATGTAGGTGTTGCTAATTTTGACTGACTTNCTTTCGTAAACTGGTTTGCCTTCATAGTGGTCTGATTGGACTACCTATAAAAAACCGTGTCAAGGCTTTGCGCGCATTATAGGTTATCTCGATTTCAAGCGGGTAAATGTTTTTCCTCTTACTCCCCCGCTCTGAAATGAACTCTGCGTCCGAGGAGGTGGAGCCAAGTGCCAACTCCTGGTGAACGAACTATACCCCTCCTCAGTAGGGTTGCTCTAAAATAGATTTCCATCAACCTAAAAACAACCTTAAGTGTGACTAAAACAACTTCATACACCTTACTTTTACACCTTGGGAGGTTTATCTAAGGTTGTTTTTGAAATCAACTTCGAATAAACCTCAAATCATACTTAACACCTCAAAAATACCCTAAATTTCTGTAGGAGGAAACCTAGCCAGTTTAGATATCATTTAGAAGAAATGGATCAATGTAAGAAAATAAGTTATCCTTGCAGTTTCGTTTTGTAACTATTTAATTTCATACCCTTTCAGTGGACGAAATAGTCAAAATTAAGTAGAATAGTTTCTATCCCATCTTTAACACCTTAGGGAAATAAAATAATAATAAAAGCATTCGTACAAAATCAGAATCAGAATGTAAATAAATAAAAAACGGTAACTTAAATGTAGGTGTTGCTAATTTTGACTTACTTACTTTGCCTTTACTTTAATTACTGTTAGTTAAATCATAGATATAATCAATATTAGTTCAAAGTATAACTAAATAATTTTATTTTGAACTAAGTAAGAATTAAATAAATCAAACAATTATAACCCCGCTCCCAAATAAATTGCTAAAGAATTACTTTGATTACCAGTTTTATCTTTTTACCCTGATTGATACGGTTTTATGCTGGCACGTATTTGTGACAGTCGGCGTGAAAGGGTTAAAATTTGGGGTATAAGGTACTTATATTATTAAAAATAACATTGACTTATAAAATTATAATAATTTAATATCTCTTACTCTTCAACTTTTAACCAACCACTTTAAATTTTGAAAAATATAAATATGAAGCAAATAACGTTATTTTGTATACGCATACGACTACTACAATGCTCTTAATGACTAAAATTTTATATTTTGACTTAAATACATAAAGACTAGCACTAGCCTTATTAACTCTTTAACAGAAGAAGAACATATAGGCGTTTAATCGCCAGAGATAAAAGATCTTGAGAGAGATGAGTATATGGCGTGAGAGTAAATTACTTTTAGTAAGTTCTTTTTACATATTTTATGTAATTATTTACAATCGAAATGCTGTATTTCATTGTGCATGTGCTGCCAATATTATCGAATAATTTCAGCAGAACGAATGTTCAATGTCATTTATAGAGCATTAACATCCAGTGTGTTTGTTACTAGATTCAGCAACAAAGGCAGATCAACCCTTCTGATCCTATCTAGACTTAATTTATTACATTAAATTAGTTCACAGAGAGCCACAAAAAGCAATAAAAGTTATTGTGTAAATATAATTGTAAGTGATTTAATTTGTGCCTGTGAAAACTTTTTTAAAATACGAATCTTTTTGAAAAAAAAAATGTGGTTTTGCAAGCGTTTTATTATTTGGATCTTTTATGCAGAAACATGATAGTTTCGTCTAACAGAATATATTAATAGTATAAATCTGTATATTCGGGTCGTTCAGAAATTCATCTTGATTTTCAATAGGCTGAGTTCCCAAAAGCTCGCTAAAACTCTAAAAGTGATAGCAAAATTTCTACTATAAAATATTGATCACTAAATTTTCCCTTATCGAAAGTTTAGAAACTGATTGTAATTATAGCAGTCTGTTTATTTGATAAATATGATCGAAATTGAAGTGGTTTCGAAATTAGAAAAAAATTAAATTGCTTTGATTAGTGGTTTGCTGCCACATGCAATCGAAAATCGTGCTCGTAAAAACTTTCCAGACTTTTTAAATGCAAGGATAATTAAAAGTATATTAAATCAAACTTATATATTAAATCAGGTACAGGAATCAAGCAGGAATGAAAAAATTTTGCTACCTCATTAAATGCAGAAATAAAATATTCAAGGAAATCCGCAGTAATTTACAAGGATGTCTTAAGTTTGTTAAAATCAAATGACAGCGATGAAATTAAAATCCAAAACAGAAAGCGTAAATGGCTCTTGGGAATAAAAATTATGGGTAATTTCAGCCGTAAAATGTTTATATGACACTCGAACGTAAAGGGAGACACTCCTTTGGTACCTTAATGCAATGTAATGTATGCAGAGTGCACAGCAATTTTTTTAACGCATGCATGCGGGCAACTTTTCCAAAAAATGTATGACAGGTGTTAGAGATTGAAATTTTTTAAAAAGTTGGTGCAAACTTGTCACTACAGCTATAATTTTAGCTTAAAAGAAATTACGATGAATGATTGTAGTACAAATTACGTTAGATTACGTGGCTGGGTGGCGCAGTTGGTTTGTCGTCGGCCTTTTGAGCCCAAGTCTGCGGGTTCGATCCCCGGACCAGACGCCAGTTTTTCGGGATGCAGAAAAATCCTAAGCGACCATGTCGTATGATTATGCGGCATGTAAAAGATCCCTGGAGTGCCTTATTGGCTCTTGGCATTTCCGGCAAAATTAAATTCCTAGTACGCTTTAGCATCCAAATAGAGTCTCGGTGCTGCCATCTAGTGTTTCAGAAACTAGACGTCCAAATTAACTTGACCAACGGTATCTCACGCATTGTGGTGGTCCTGAAAGAGTGGATACCACCTCTGGAGAACGCACTAGGTCTGCTCATCAGCAAGACCGATTGTGCAGCTCATTGGAAAAAAAAACGTTAGATACTGAATCATTTATGTTTGTGGTCATCACGAATTTGTTTAGATAATTTCTCTGAAAAACAGTATGGAAATGACGTAGTTCTGCAACCTTTTTTTAAACTTTTGCATGGTTTGCAGAAATTTAAAAAATTTATTTTCAAGTGACCCACTTGTAATGTGTTAACAGGGAATTGAATTTTCCTTATGGTATTTTCGTGTAGTAATTTTTGAATTTAAATTTTTCAAACGAACTAATGACTGCATCCTTTTTTACAATAATAATTATATATACCACAATAAACAGCAGTTTTTATGTCTTCCAGGTGAGAAGCCAAAATGGCGTCTCCTAATTTTCAAGTGACACTTCAAGCCGATCCGAATCAGATGGCACAGGCTGCTGGTTACATGGCCTCCCAAGGGGACTACATGCAACAACAGGGAATTCCTACAGAAGGTCNTGGAGAACGCACTAGGTCTGCTCATCAGCAAGACCGATTGTGCAGCTCATTGGGAAAAAAAACATTAGATACTGAATCATTTATGTTTGTGGTCATCACGAATTTGTTTGGATAATTTCTCTGAAAAACAGTATGGAAAAGACGTAGTTCTGCAACCTTTTTTTAAACTTTTGCATGGATTGCAGAAATTTAAAAAATTTATTTTCAAGTGACCCACATGTGTTAACAGGGAATTGAATTTTCCTTATGGTATTTTCGTGTAGTAATTTTTGAATTTAAATTTTTCAAACGAGCTAATGACTGCGTCCTTTTTTACAATAATAATTATATATACCACAATAAACAGCAGTTTTTATGTCTTCCAGGTGAGAAGCCAAAATGGCGTCTCCTAATTTTCAAGTGACACTTCAAGCCGATCCGAATCAGATGGCACAGGCTGCTGGTTACATGGCCTCCCAAGGGGACTACATGCAACAACAGGGAATTCCTACAGAAGGTCTCCCACAGAGCGGAAAGCTGCCTGTCTCCATAAGATTTGATCCAAGCTACATAAAGACATTCCCAGGAATGCTGAAAATAGCAGAAATAGTAAGAATGTGCAGCTCCATTTGTTTTTCAATCAGTTAGTAATTAGGTGTTAAGAAATCCTAACAGACAGTGCATTATTCTGTCGTTCTCTACTAAAAACTACTTAACTAACTACTTAACTAAAATAAAATTATTCTGACTCCATTTTTAAAACAACAAAAAATTTTCCATTTTTACAAAAAAAATCCTTTTTTTTACACAAAAAAAAACACCCACAGGTGGAGAAGTTGTACAAATTGTAGAACTCTTTTACTGAGAGGGAATAGTTAATTAAAGTTTTGTTTAACGTTAAAAAAACATATATATAAAACCCTGTTATGACAAGGGCAATTAGAATTAAACCCGGTATTTTCCTTAAACTGATAGCTTAATTTTATTCAAGCTATCAGAAAAGAATAGATTTTTATTAAGAATAATCCTTTTGTAAGGATTTCAAAAATAATTCTCCAATTTAAAACGTCTTCAAAAATTATGTGTAGGCAAACAATAAAAAGAAATAATGTCCTCTAATGTCTTTTCATGAGCCTCACATTTGTAGAAGCAGTAACTTACTGAAGGTGTCGTAATTCAAGACACTTAAGAGATTTATTATTACTCAATGTGCCCGTGTGCATGCTTCTGACCAAATGTTCTAAGTACAGTATCTGACCGTTGTGAGGTTCTGACAGTGGTGGCAACAACTACAAAATGTCCTATAATCAATGGATGTTAGGAATTATCTTTTCGTGCCATGCGTGATGTACTACATTCATTTATTGCTGAAGTTCAATCTAAAAATATTAAAATGTCAGTCCAATGAAGGGTTAATTAACAATTTTTAAATTTTAAGTCTTCCTGATACATATTATAGTTCACTTTTTCACGGTGCACGAAAGAAAAAAACACTCTGAATAAGTTCTATCTAATGATTCTATTTTCGCATTCTAGGCCATAAACTTTATCATAGAAATGCAGATTGCATAAAAATTAATGCATAATAATTGAGTTTATCATAAAAATGCAGATTAATTTGAGCAGGCAATATTTTAAGCTAAAAAAATCAGACACAAAAACGTACTTTCTCTGAATAAATCTAGCTTCTTTTAATGATTTTGGATTCTTTATACCCAAAGTACAAGGGTAGCCATGATTTGGAAACTAAAGTCCTCGAACCCTATGTTTAATACTCCGACTCTGCGTTAAATGATATAACTATACATTTGAAAAAAAAGGTTATGCTAAAGCCTCACAAAATCGATCCTGCTGTTAAAAATTACATTTTATTTTCGAGGTATTGATATTTGTATAAAGAAAAAGGAAGTTCGAAAACGTCCAGAAAACTTTTTCAGAATATTCATTTTAGACTTTAATATTTCATTAATTTTTATAATTTAAACAAAATCATTGAAAAAGAAAACTATTTCCTTGACAGAATCTAGTTCAGCCTTCGACCTTTCGTCAAGCATTTCATCAACCTAAATGAACAGAGTGCCAAAATATTGTATTTTTCATGTACTGCGATTAACGCTGCACGTGATAGTGTTTCTAACAGCTCTTTCGTGTTGGCCGTTCTGTTGTCTCAATAATGTTCCTCACGTGCATCGAGAGCAGATGTAGTCTTAGTTATAGAAGTAGGGCTGAGTCTGTTGAGAATGCCAATAGCATAGACCCATAGAATAATGCTTAGTCTGTTCTGGCACTGTTGGATATGGGACTAAATAAATATTGCTAAAACAGTACCAGACGCTTAACATTTGTTGAGTTGTTATTCTAACATCTAAAATCGCTGGAATGACTATACTTTTCAACGGCAGATCATTTTCTGAATAATTGTTGAGTTCTGATTCTAGCATTTAAAAAAGCTGAAATATTAATACTTATCAACTTAAAGTTATTTGCCGAATTTGTTGAGTTTTAATTCTATCAATTCAAGGGACTGAAATGCTTATACTTTTTAACTGAAAGTTATTTGTCTAATGCCGTATGCTCAACATTTGTTGAGCTTTGATTCTAACATTTCAAAAAGCTGAAATATTAATACTCTTCAACTGAAAGTTATTTGCTCAATTTGATGAGTTTTGTTTCTAACAATAAAGGGGCAGAAATGTTTATAATTTTAACTGAAGGTTATTTGCTGAACTTAACCTTAGTAGCGAAAAGTATTTTTGTAGAAATTCAACAAACATTTTAACCGGTTAACGCCCAGCGTCATAAATTTAGGACAGTTCCTTTTTTCAAAGACATTCATAGCGGTGGGAAACTTTTTTCAGTATTTTCATTTATCTGGGTGAATTGAAGGATTTTCAGATACCACAATGATTTAGTTATTTCTGATTAGATTTAGAATTATAAGGAACAAGTACGTTTCGATCAATCAAAGACTTTTTGAATGCCTTAACAGTAAAAAAACCAATTAATTTCGTTAATACCACTTTTTCCATAAAACCACTTTTTGCATAATTTCAATTTTTAAAATTCGGGTCAAAACAGGTTAAGTCGTTGATTATTATGATATTGGCTACGTAATTATTATCAGAACTTCGAATAAAAAGTAGCGCATAAATACTTCCAAGTATTTAGTGATTTTAACCTCTTCAATTAATCTCTTCGTCAATTAACCTCTTCAAGACGGGTGAATCATATAAGCATTCTCAAGGTGGCGACAAAAGATAAAAGGGTTTAAGGTAAGGGTAAAGGGATCAGGATAAAAAAGATAAAACTTGTAGCCATACTATTTTTGTAGCAGTGCATTTGTGGGCAATGTTATAATAATTTGATTATTTTAAATCCCCACTGCTTACTTCGAAAGATAATTTATATAGTTAATGATTCAATGTATAGATTAACTTTAATTAAAGTAAAAGCATAATGTTAGGTTTACCAGGAAGTTTAGTCCGCCAAAGTACACACCATATTTTACAGAAATGTGAAGGGTTAAAGTGGTAAAATATTTACCCGTTATTTCAAATTTAATATTCTAGATAATAGAGTCACGACTATATGGTGCAAAGGATATATATGCATACCTGCCAATATTTAATCATTTCGAGGATGATTTTCCCTAGTGGCAGTTAACAAGAATTTAAATTACAATTTTAGGCACAAACACATGCTGTATTTTGAAATAGCTTTTGCGGGCTATCAGTACACTATTACATATTATAATATATGATTATTTTTTTTAAAAATAGTGGTGATTAAAATGGTTATAAATTAAGTTTATATATATGAATGGAACATATGAAAAGAGTACATTTTACTACTACTTTAAACATAGAAATAAAATTTTACGCCAAATGCGTAAAAGTTGGCAGGTATGTATATGCATAAATATTCAAACTTTTAGCGAAAGTATTCGACAGAACTAGAAGTGGTACATCTGATGTATACATTTAAAGGTAACTACCTACCACTTTTTTTTTACAAAGGCAACTTTTGCATCGCTTATAGCAGGGTTTCTTAACCTGTGGTTCATGAACCCCTAAGGGGTCCATGAGCTATATTTTGGGGGTCCGCTGACTACTCCTAATTTTTAAAACGTTGGGAAGCCTACCCATTGCTTGTAAGAAGAACTATTGTAGCTATAATTCCGTTTGCTGCAGTGTATCTTTGCGAAGCGGGATTTTCCACAATTGTGACAATAAAAATATAACATCGAAATCGATTGAATGTTGAACATGATATACTAGTTGCTTTGTCGAAAACCATCCCCCAATTAAAATTATTTATTAGGGAAAAGCAGCAGCAACCTTCACATTTAAAATTTTAATTTTAAAAATTTTGTATACTATTAAAATAATAAAATTAAATGTTTTCTAATAATTGATGTCTTTTGCAATTATTTTTTTTCTTACGGGGGTGGTCCATGACTTCTTAAAAATTTTTAAAAGGGATCCACTATATCAAAAAGGTTAAGAAACACTACTTTATAGAATAGGGCATGTTCTTTTGCGGACAGAATTTTCTGTAGACCCAATAAGTCTGTGAAACTACCTACGAATATATTTAACACATTGCTGACCGGCAACTTTTCTGAAAATTACCCCCATGTGGAAGTAAAACAATACAAATAAACTTTAAAAATTTTTAAATTTTTATGCCATATGATAAAAAGTATTACGTGAAATGGCAGCACGCATTAAGTTTTGCAAATATATGATGTTTCGTAAAGTTATAATAAATTGGTACAGAATTAAATTGTAAAACTTGAAAAGTAAGGAAAATTACGCCCACTTTTTAAAATAATCAACACGAGATAACTGCGAACGAAAACACGAGATAACTCGTGACCGGTCAGCAATGTGTTAAGCTAGCGCTTTTAACTTTTTTCCATCCTGATTCTGTGTTGGGGTTCAATTGAATTTCTTCGGGCTTGGGCTGCTCGGACTTTCCAAAACGAACCCAAACTCATCTTTAATCATCGGGATAACTAAAAAGTATCGATATTTCACGATGTATCGACAAATCTCTTTACTGCAGTTCATTTTAAAATTGTTTTGTTGAAACCATATGCGCAAAAATATTTTACAAGTCTTAGATTTTTAGGGGGGGGAAGTTATTCTAAAGAATTCTAAAGAGATCATTAATGTTAAAAAAAACCATCTGTGTATGAAAAAAACAAACATTTGCAAAAATCTTTTCAAATATGTATACTTAAGCATAATCTCTTTAAGTATTTGCATAGAAAAACCATTTCTCTAACTTTAAATGCATATTTACTCGCTTTGTTGCGGCTAGGTTTTATAGATAGTAATCAATTATTTACTTTCAGTTGTGGAAAGTAGCGGAAGTAGCATACTTTAAATAAGATTGATTCAATTAGAAGTTATCGTTTCCTTTTCTTTTGCCTCAGTATAATCTCGTATTTTTATATTCACGAAGAAGTTTAAAGAAAAAGGATTTGCTACATTTTATAAGAGTTACAGTTCGTGAAATGTTATGTTTTTAGCAGCCGAGTTTGATATCAAGCTGATTTTTTAACAGCCAAAGAGAATTAATTTAGGCACTAATCTACTTAAATT